CTGCCAAACTCCTTGTTTCCCTGCAGCTGGTGCATGCTGTAGCCACCCTGCTTACTCTGCGAGTCCTGTACAAACCCACATGACACACGCGCACACACGCAGACACAAAATACCAACGTTTAACACATAGGGTATACAGAGGCACTGCTTAAAGACATGCAACACAGTCACAAACACACTATATAAACTCATCCTCCAACATCAAAGTACAGTCTCTTCTTAAAACTAAAGTGAGAGTGCTTACAGGAAAATTAAATCTACAAGGCATGCTCTGCAACGCCTCTAAAGGGCCAAACCACTCTACTGTCAAGCAGAACAGACAGATAGATGCCAGCATGCTCAACATGCACCACCACTTACTCTTCTAGACTTGATTCCAGACAAGCAGAAGGCAGAAGGAGGGGAGATAGAGGGGAGAGGTGTGAAAGATCTAGCTCAGGTGCAGGCGGTGTGTGTGAAAGAGTGCATCGCCTGCCCGTGCGTCGACCAAAACCACAATCTCATGTGCTTAGTTTCTAAATGTAGTGCTTACCGTGGGTGCTATTACCAAGATAAGCTACAGAAAGTGTGAATTAAATGTGAAAGATTGTATGGATTGTGTCATGCACACAGCGGGGCCGTGAATGTGTGAAAACAAACCTACAGCTACAGAAGGCTAGTGAAAAGTAAATCTGAGGTTGGCAGTGTGTGTGTGTGTGTGTGTGTGTGATGTTGTGTTGTTAAGTCGGGCAGTGAGTGGCTCTCCACTGAGCAGCCAGTGAGGCACAACACTGGTCACCAGTAAAGCCTACCACACACTGGCTACCAGCATGGTACAGCACTGGGCACTCGCTCTGTGCTGCAGGAGACAAGCTCCAAACCTGGTAGTGGCCAGAGTGAGAGGAGGTGCGTGGTAAAATGAAAAAAAGATCTGTTTCTAACAACGTATATCTGTGCAGCACCTGGATCAATATGGCTGTGTTTAGCCCTACGTGGCTGACTTTGGGCTGGCCTTGTTAGGACTTTCACCTGGTACAAGTTTAAATTTGGCCTGGTGTGTCCGGGTGTGACCTGCCTACCTCCTTCTGGTCCAGCTGGAGGGAGGACTTGATCAGATCCCGCAGGGCAGTCAGCTGCTTCTTCTCCTCATCCTGAGTTTGTTTGATCTGAGCAGAACAAATGCAAGGTTGAGAAAACTGGTGAGACTGCTATCTGTGTTTACATAAAGCCATTTAATGCCTTGTGTAAACACTGAAACTGAAATCAACAATTTGGAAAACTTCCCAGTGCTTTCTTCTTTGAAAACATGCTTTTCCTTTGCTCATTCTTAGGTTGTTTTTGTAATCTACAAGCCATCTTGCATATTAATATCCGAACTTACAGCTGTGTGACTTTCCCAGGCATTAAAAAACAGTGAGAACGCACATTCAAAAAACTTTTAAAGGTTAAGGAGTCAGACAAAAAGACTGAAACTTTACTTTGTTAAATGAAATCGTGGGAGGATCTTTTGTCTGACTTTAACTTCCCCAGGCGTTACCATCTTTGGATAAGTTTACTTGTTTCCAGGAGATTCTGAATCATTGACAGTTGCAGCAGGTGTGCTACCATATAATAATACATAATATCATATAATAAGGAGCATTATATTCTAATAAAACTGCTGCCTCAGGAGAAAACACAGCAGTACTGTAAATAACAAAAACTGGTGAGCAGTCAGTGTAGGCTCATCTTCTTCAAAGGTTTGCTTGTGATGGCACTAAATGTGCTATTCTACACACAAAAGATCCTCTTCCTTTACGATCATTTATTGTGATGTATGTGAACATTTTCATCACACTCATCAACTGTATAAAGTGTGTGAATTCATTCTTGACCGTGGAAACAGTAATTTGACCTCATAAAAATAACAACTCAAGGTCTATGAACTAGCTTTTTGCATTAGTATGAACAAACTTCATCTGCTGAATAAGAGATGCATGTAAGCCAGTAATTGGACCACAAGATAAGATCATTTTATCAGATCAACTTTTTTCATTTAATTCAGAAAGAAAAAAAAGGTAACGACAGACAAAGTACACGTATACAGATGTCTGAAAGATCAGCTTTCATTGTCTTAATAAGCCAAAATAAAAAGAGAAGAGGAGATGAAAAGGTAGAAGATGTGAGTATTTACATTGTAGAGATCAGCTGCCAGCTTCTCAATGTACTGCTTCAGCTTATCCGCTGTCTTCAAGCCATCTTGGAAGAAACTGGAGAAAAAAATACATGTGAATCTCACTGACATTAACATGCACTGGAATAAATATAAGACTTTTTTTGTTTCATTCATGGGAATTACTGCTTTGTTATTGTCAGGTGTTACACACAGAGAGAGGAGATTGGTGCAGTTTATGTTTAATGTATAGCTCGGCTCGATCTGGCGCCTTTGGCTCTTGGCACAGGAATCGTAGCTGGCTGCGTCCGCAGCAGATTTGCAGGGGTGCTTAGCACATCCTCAAATCCATTACAGATCTGTCGGTGGTACACACCTCAATGCAGCGCTGCAGCAGCAAATCACCGCTAATGACCTCCCTCTCTCCACCCCCTGCCCACCACACTCTTCTTCTCGGAACATATCTCTCCCTCTCTCTGTTCATCACTCTCTCTCTGTCACATCTCTCCTCTGCTTGTTTTCTTTCAATCTGTGCATCGAGGATCCCACATCTCTCCTCCCACTCCATCCAGCTCTTCATGTCAAGTACTGAAGGCCTTGCAGGATTGTCAGAATGTGAAGTTAAAGTAATCGTGCTGCAGGTATAGAAAAGATTCAGGTCGGTTGACTGAACATTTTGCTGTACTGTATGAACCTTAAAATATTTAAAATTACTTTTACTTATCATCTAATGGGAATTTCCAGTATTTGACAATCATTATGACTCTGTTCGTCATAGATTTGGGAAAAGTGGACTCCAGCAAGAAAGATGTTGTTTGGGGAAAAGAGTGGGAGACTGGCAGCTTTGCAAAATACTTCAACTTAACAGAAATCTTCTCATTTAAGAACAATTAATCCCTGTAGCTGTTGCAGCAAACTGCATAACAACATTCTCATCAACCTGCCAGCTCAAATACCTGCCATAATGATGCACATATGGCAGTTTGACGATGCTAGTAAGGAGGCTGAGGTTCACTTTTGATTTAGCTAGTTTGCATGCTGGAGGAGTAGAACACACTGAGCTGTTTGTATTGACTGCCACTGTACAATACGGGATGACCTGAGTTGTAGCTAAAAGGTTCAGTATGCCTGATACAAACTAGGTTGTATAGTGTCCGACTACGTCTGAAGGCAAAGGAGTTTGTAGCTGCTTCAACTGGCCACACTTCGTCAAAACCTCCTCTGGTTGCTTCACACTACCTCCCTCACCTCTCCCCCAGAACTCGGTGGCTTTTGCTCGTCTTTACTGTCTCAATACGATAAGGAAAATGGTGCACACTTTCAGATTATGTTGCAAAAGTTGAGAAGATATCAGTCGCTTTGGAGCAAACCAACAAGCACTTTGAAGCTTATTGAGACCTTAAAGACATGGGTATGCTCCAAATGAACTAGAAAACAGGTTGTCCAACCATCTCAGAAGTGATTATAGCGGTTCAGACAATTCAAGTGTGGGACAAACGTATTGATACTGTTGCACTCGTTTGTACATACAAAAAGGCTGTTGAGTAAAAAATGATAAATCAGAGTGTGAGTGAGAAACTGAAACCCTGCCTACTTTCTCACATTTTTATTTATTTATTTATTTTTTTACACCTCACTGTGAGAAGTAGCATGTCGGTTGTCTGATTTGACAAGTAAAAAGAACGGAAACAGAAAGAAAATAAAAAATGTCCTTCAATGTCATCTGGGGAGGGAGGGAGGGAGTTTCAGATGCTTTTAGATATTCAAACTTCAGTTGGAGCGTACTGAATCCTTAATTAGTCTATAATTGTGATGCAGTTATCGACAACAGCTGCAGGAATTTCCAAAGGACTACATTCTGTGTTTACATTTGGCCTGAAAGGAAAGTGTTCGAGATGAATTCTGTTACTAAGTTTTTTGGAAAAGCTGTCGGCATCTGTCAGGACACTGATCAATGTGTTTCTTGCAAGAGTCCATGTTTCCCTGAAAATGATGTCATGACAAATATACAAAAACATGCACTGAAAAATTACTATCCATAATTTGTTGAATGAAATGGTTCAGAAGGTAAAAAAAAAAAAAGAAGGAACAGAAATTGTTTTCTTCTTTCTGGCTTCGAGCAGTCACACACTTCCCTCAGCTCTTCATCAACTGCGTTTATGCTTCTAATCCATCACCACTGCAGCTTTTTCTATCCATCAAAGCCCAGGTTGAACAGATTAAGGGGGGAAGTATATTGTTTTGTCCCAGTGTTATGACAGGACCTAGCAACCCTGAGAGAAAATTGTCATTGCCCGTTGTGGAGCTGCGGTTCTGGCACGGAGAGCACCCACTTATTTACCCACCAAACCCCACAGCTGTCAGAACATATCCGTATGATGACCTGTGCATATTTATGAGAGCTATATATATAAATCTGTGCGCCCTGAAGATCTGTGAATCATACAGGAGACAGAAAATTGACATCAAGGAGCTGAGAAGAGGGAGAGAGACACAACCTTTTTTCTTTGGTGGGTTTTGAAAAACATTTCTCAGTGGGTGTGATGCGCACACAACAGGGGAGCTTCACACATTTGGGTTCAGGGGGATTAATGTGGTACTTACTTGCACTGTGCGTGGTAATACTTAATCAGGTTCTGGAGGAGGTCCACTCCTTTCTTGGTCTTGATCTCATTTACTTTGATCAGGTACTGCAAAGCAGAGAGAGGTGCAGAGTTCAGCCAGGAGTTGAAATTCAGGGTGTGTTTAAAGGATTTTTGGTTTAATGAAGTATAATGTGACAGAGCTGTTGCACAGAGAATAAAAACTTCTGCTCTGCCGTAGACGTTTAGAGTACGAAAATTTTGCATTATGATAATCGCATCTGAGTGCACATACGCTTTATGAAGGCTTTGATGTATAAGCCAAGACTGCCATGACACTGTGGGAGTGAGGACCAGCCTGGTAAACACACTTCTATTACAAGAGAATATCAACCCTCTGCCTTGACCTAAATAAAGTTTCAAAGGGATGATAAGAAATATTTTACATTATAAAAAAGAGAGAATAGCCTCTAGAGGAAGTGCTTTGTAGACTATATGCTCAGTCTGGGTGTCTGAGGATTCAAAACAAACAAGAAGTCTTCAGACAGCGCTCCCACCAAACAAACGAATAAAAGATAATCTGAGCTAATCCCACGGCATGCCAATCCACAGAGATTTACAAAGAGTCACAGCTAAAGAGCACTTTCAGCTCTACAGCTAAAATTTAATCTATCACACAAAAGCCTTCTGACGCTTGTGACACCAACACACACAGTTTCAATTTGCTCCTTACATTACGTGCATAGATGCACGTATATTAGCGCACGCATGAGTGCACATGTATGCGCATATATGTGTGTGTATGCATGCATGTGTTGTCCCTTTGTCTGCCTGACAGTGCCCGCTGGATGGGAGATTATCCACATTTTGTCTGAGCCCTGTGTGGGTTCAGTGTTTTTGGAGAGCGCTGCCGCATGTGCGTGTTTGGAGCTCTTTTGTGTGAATGAGCAGCATCGCTCGCACTGCTGCCGCGTCTGAACAGAACATAATGCAGCCTGCTGAGCGCTGCCTTTCCACACTCCTTCACTGACGGCGTAGGATGAAAAGGGTGAGAGAGTGAGAGCATCCTGTAATCTGGTGATTGAGTAACATGGAGGGAGAAGAGCGGGAGAGAGAGCGTGAGAGCGAGAGAGTGCACGCACACAGAGAGAAATGAGGTTAAGTGGGATGAACAGATTGTACCACTGACTGCAGCAACACAACAGCAGCAGCAGCAACGCTGGTAATTCCAACCATGATGACTGTTGATTTAGAAAATCTCTGATGGTTGTGAATTTTTATTGGTAAAAAAATATAGATAAATCAAATACAATTGCACATTACATAACACACAACTAGGTCAAATGCTTCACATAAGAAGGAGATATATGTGCAATAGATATAGGAGATCTGGATACAAATCTTCTAAAACAATGTATGTAAGTTTTAAATTGTGATATAAATATTGAACTAAGGCTGCGACTGACAGTTATTTCCATCAATAATTAGCTTGCCAATTGTTTTCTTGATTAACTGGTTACATTTTTAATTTAAAAAAAGTGTTAAAAAATAGTGAAACATACCTTTAACAAGTTCAAAATACTTTTTTATGTCATAAATCACAAAGAATTGCAGCAAATTCTCAGATTCTCGACTAAAAAAAAGTTTCCAATTGATTATTTGCTGATTGACTAATGATATCTAAGGTACAGTAAATCTTATGGAAAATGAATTGAGTAACTACTTATTGATAAAATAACCAGAGTGAAATATTTGTATTTGGCTAGCCCTGATAATCAAATACCTGACATATCAAGGCATATCTTATAATCCAATATTACCATAAAGCCGTCCTACTTATTGATGAGTATTAAAGAGATATTAAAACGATGGCTAGTGTGGTGTACGGTATGGCAAAATCACTGAGGGTTGAATAATTCATCTTTTCTCAGTGTAGACAGATTTAAACTTCCCTGACCTATCAAACCCGTCTCTGAAGTGGATCAACAGCAATGATCATATAAATACATCTGCAGATGGTAAAATATCTGGCTTTCAAACCTCATTATTTTTAAACACTGACTTTCACTTGGCATGAAACTATCACATCATATATGTACAGAAACAAGTCTATTATGTTCTCATAACAGAGGCCTTTAACTCTTCAAACCACAGAGTCATTTAACTATTATTTACAGTGAGGCTGGATCAGTAACAAGTGGCCAAAACCACAAATGCCTTCTGTTTGAAGATTTTACCCCGAAACACTCGTGCAGTCCTGTATGGACATAACAAATCAGCATTATTCTGTAAGTCAGAGCATGAACATGCAGAGCTCTGCAGATGATTAGAAATTCATAATCAAATCTGGACGTGAGGCAGCCAACGAAAGAGGAAGCGAGTGCGAATGTAACGTTGGAGCTACAACTTGTTTTCTGGCATCCTGCATTAACTGTAGGCGGGCTGCAAAAATGGATAATGAAGCGATTTTTGAGTCCTCTGAAACCATGAAAAGATAAAAGTTCAAGTTCAAACTTTCATGTTTTAACTTAATTGCAAAAAAAAAAAAAGGAAATTGACTTGCTAAAATAATTTGATTTCGTGTTTCCAATAAAAAACACTGAGCCAACTTTTAATGATTCTGTACTCGTGGAGACTTGAGCTGAAAGGGACAGGTGCACGCTGGTGTTCTAACAACAATGGAGAGTTTGATCTGTTCAACAGTCAGCAGTTACAGGCAGCAGCAGTGGCTGTGACACACAGCTCATTTAACATATTAACTAACACAGACATATTCTTAGATCAGCACCCAGTACCTTCCACCTCCACTGATTAAGACTGTTTAACTTCAACCTGCTATGCACAAACTCTACCTTGTAATAATAGTACATTTACAGATTGTTTATACACTGTTTTGCACACCATATTCCTTACTGCCTACTGCATATAGTGTTTATATTTTCATTATAGTCTTTATATTTTCTATTATATCTTTAAATATTTTTATTTTATTATTGTATTTTAACACTACTCTACTTTTTGTACTAATTTCCCCTGTGCTGCCGTGTCAAACGAAGGAATATCTTATCTTATGTACTTAAAAAGATGCTCCTAATCTCAAAATAAAAGTACTTTTAGTATCAAAGTAGTCCAGGGATAGTGGTCTGTTTATGTATGGGTACACTGCAAATAGTTCATATCTAATAGCTAATTTATCACACTTTGCCAGTTTGCCAAAATATAAACAAATATACAAAAAAATAGGCTCTAGTTGCAGACGTGTTTACATGCTACACAACTCTGACTATATCTACCAAATAGAAGTAAGACAATATATTATTATAACATTGTATAATGTTGCCCTTTATATTTATATCATATAATATTTGAAAAGGTGGAGGGTGAGCAGTTGTCTTGAAAAGTGCCAATAAGGACAAGAGTTTGAAAATCGTGTTCTCCAAACCCTCAACTAAAGTGGTGTGAACATAGCAACCAAACATCCTAAAAGCTATCACTAGGAGGGATACAAATATTTTTTTAGACGAGGGCTTCATACTGGACGTCAGCAGATTCACACGTGGCTCTGTGGATGGCAACGTCTTTGGCTTATAAACAAATACCTGTTAAACTAATGATGTTCCCATCAACCTCAGCTGTACTGTTTATTGCCAATAACCAAGATGGAGAAAATGGTAAACATAATATCTGCTAAACATCAGCATGTTAGCATTAGGTTAAAGCAGCACTGTTCTTTAGTACAGCCTCACGGAGCAGCTGGAATGGCTGTGGCCTCATTTCCACCTGTTGTAGTCTTACCTGCTCCCCTTGTTTCATGTTTAGCACTTTCTAGAAAAACATTATATCCAAATATACTTGAATTAATGAAGCCACACCTGGTCTATAACAGAACAAGATGTCTGAACACAGGTGGAAAATGTGGGCAAGGAAACACCTCTGAGTCACTGTGAGAAGAGCGCAGATCAGCATGGCAGAGCACGAAGGGACTGCAGTGAGTTTTTTAGTGAATAATTCACACCAACAGCACTGCAACAGCCATTGGTCCATTATGTAATTTGAGTAAAAAATCCTAACAGGATAAAACAGTGAACAACGCGTAGGCGTCACCACCCACCACTAGAGAGGTTTTTGGCAAAGCGGAGTGAGCTCTAACAGTTTGTTCTGATTCTCTTGGGCACATAAAGAGCTCACATTTGTTTTACACTTAATTCTAGCTGTCAGATTTCTTCAAGTACAGCCTTTGAGCGTTAATACCAATGAGAATTCAAACTGTGTCACAACATGCTTAAAGGAAAATAAGTTTACAGAACAAGGGGAACATCTGAAAACACTTAAAGGCGAACAGTTTGAGTCTTTAGTACGGGTGGTTAGCTGCTCAAATATCTGACTTATACTATATTTTCTAAGTCTTATCCACTGACATACAATCATTGTAACAACCAGTTTCAGTCTAGTGATGAGGCCAGAGACCGGTGAAATGCACACTTTGTTCTATGCTGTATCTTTTAGGACTGCTGTTATCCCTACATATGGAGCTGCACGAGTATTAAAGATATTCTATAAATTATTCAAATCATCTGAGAGAAAAAGTGAACTCAAGCTTAAAATCTGCTTCAAATGCAGCTGAGGATTTAACATACTGTAGGACTTAAGTGGGTGTTCAAACCCAGAAATAGCACTGTGTCGGTGGGTGTGAGTTCCTACAGGTACCAATAAGGAAATAAGATCCAGGAGGGACAGTTTATGTGACAGACCCTTGAGTTTGAAGGCTTATCAGACACTAAAACACAGACGCCATGGTGGTTTCGGGTGCTGACCGTGAATTGCAACGTTCAATTCCAGCCACAGACCTTTGATGGCCATCATTTCTTGTCATTTCTCTAATGTTGATAACAAAAAAATGCCAGAATAATTACAAAAAAGAAAAGTAATCTACCTCTTCTCACTGCGCTTTTTCGCTCCTTGTCTCATCGAAATGAATGAGGAGGTAGATGATGTGTTTGAAATGTTGTCCGCCCACTGCCTAACACAACATTTTTACAATCACATTTGTACAGCTACACGACTACAGCTTCGTTTTACAACCTACCTCACACATCTGGAGCTGGAAGAGGCGGCGCTCCTTCTCCATCTCCTCTGCAATTTCAGCTCCAGTGATCTCCGTGCGGATCATCCCGTGCTGCTTGGCATGCTCTCGCTTCTCCTTCTCGATCTTTGTACTGATTCACAGACGAAAGGGCAATTACTGAATGGACTGAATTCCTCTTCTTGACCTTACATCATGCAAGTAGTTTTGTGCTCTAAAATGTGTGTGGATCTTCTAAGACTCTCCTGGAGGGTCCAAGCAACATTGGTGCACATTATCAACAGCGTTTGATCCATTATTCAGTATTCTATAATGAGCTGGATGATGTAAATATGCAGTGTTACAGCAGCACACTTTAATTATCCACTTACAACTTGGCCTCGTAGTCCTTCCATGCTTTGTCAAAGGGCTTCTTTATGTCCTGCAGAAACATAGGAGGACAAGCATCAGCAAACTACAAAGAGGTCACCGTGGGGACGAAGTTATTTGCAGAGCTGGAGCGCAACCAGAGTTCCAGCAAACGCCTCGCTCCGCTCAAGATTTATGCTCTGGACGGCCAGCGAGCAGCCACGCCCCTCCTTGTACCCCAAACATCAAGGGTTAACGACCCAGTTTTTTCGCCACTCGCCTCGAACACAGCACAAAGGCCGTGTTTACTCCTGCGAGATTTACAGCGTGATCTTTTGAACGGAGAGCTCTCCCCCGTCTCGCTGGTCTCTTCTTGCTTACACTCTCAACATGCACACGCGCAGAAGTTGAGAGATTAATAGAGAGATTTGCTGACAAGGCATCTATTTTTCCTGTCCCACTGCTGTGCCGGGCCATGGGGGGGCCCAGAAGAGTCGAGAGAGAGAGCGAGAGCGAGACAGAGAGAGAGAGAGAGAGAGAGAAGAAGAAAAAGAAACCATCAAGAAGAGAAACTGTTTTACAGTAAATCTTACCCCTTTCACGCCTTTCAAATCACCCTTCAGCAGCGAGTCCAGAGTGAAGATCACGTTGTGGCTGAGGCTCTGGAGCTGTGAGAGGACACACGGAGAGGAGGTGGAAGAACACAGGGGAGTAGAAATGGAAGTTGTTATGAAATAACAAGCTCAACGTATCATAAAAGTTGAGGCTGAGGATGTTCTATAGTTTTATTATCGTCAACAAATCCCATGAAAATACAAAAACCAACAATGAAATGTTGCGTGAAATCAAAATCATTCAGGAATAAATCATTCCTTTGTGTTATAGAGCTCCATTGTTGTGCCAAAAACTATTAAAAACACATCAATGATCCACATTGTTGCACTGAGGGACATGTTTCTGCATTACTATGAACACTTGTTTCAAATGCACAGTACTGCTAGCCTTAACACTCACTAGAACACCAGAATGTGTATTTATCCGCAGCTGAAAACAGTCCCCAATAAATGCACTACTTATTACTGTCTGAGTAACATTTGCTAATAGTAGCTATAGTGCCCAAATTAAAAAAATAAAACAATAAACTATATATTTGTGATCCCTTTTTAAAGCAGTAAAAGCCTATTTGTTTGGCCACTTGCAGCCAGTGGAACAAGCTGTAAACACAACATTGACATATTATCACCTTATAAAGTTGTTATTGCAAATGTATTTGAAAAAAAAAAACACCATTAACATCTTATCTCTGGCTACCTGAAAAACATTCACTCCTCATTTTTTAGCTGTTTTTCAGTTTCCACCAATTACTGAGGAAAATATCTGGCTCTTTAGCTGCTAAATGCACCACTAACTTCACCAGTAAGTTGCTAACTCTGTGTGTCTGCCATTTTGTGCTGGACATGCAGACCACACTGGGTTTTAACAGAGCTTTTTTTGTTGATATCTGCTGCTGCTGGAAACAATGCTAATGAGAGTGGTGAGAGTGAATCAAAAAAGCTAAGTTGTGGGCCAAAACAAATGAGCTGAAAGATGCAAAAACGCTCCATATTGGTCTCTACAAGCAACCATTTCATTACATGTAGTCATGTGATCTGTTATTACTATAAAAATATTGATTAGTGCAGCTTTAAAGAATGATGTCTTCAGTGTGAACAAATGGACTTTTTTGGAATGGAAGTTTTGTTGGTTTTAGTCTTTTCATGGGATTTGTTGACGATAAGAAAAACATAGAATAACACCGGCCTTATCCTTTAACCTGCACTGCAGTGCATCAACACATTTCATGCGGCTGCTGACTGAAGAAAATCAGCAACATAATAACAAAAAGTGCTGCCAAAAACCGCACAAGTGCAGGTTGGTCTATTGAAGATTTAGCAAAAGCTTGACATTGCCAACAGCTCAGGTTGCTACAGTTATGCTCTGCAGCTCTAACCATTAGGATCAGCAAGGTCATTTACAACAGTACTAAGCATTTAAGTCCCTGTTGTTGTTGTTAGCCAAGTCCACACAGACACACAGCAGCGGTCAAGGAAGTAAACAACGCTTAATGGGTGCTAATGTGCTTCTTAAGTGCCTGTCTTGCATATGGCCAACGTCAGAATCAATCTTCTACTGGCTGACTGCCGGTGTGCTCTAACAGCACATAATGGAAACTGTCACTGTCTCTTTTGCTTGCTCTAGGTATGTGATTCTCACATAGGAAATAAACACTGCAGAAGAGCTGGCAACGACCTGGCCAAATTTGTCTATAAAATCCTTACATTTCAGCCAATAACGCATGTCGGACATCTAGGACAAGCGCTGCTCATCAATTCTCATTTGTAGTGCACGCACATACCAGCTGCCCTCAGGGCGCCGTTATTGAAGTTTGAACTCACTCGATAAAGTACTCAAAATGGAAAAGACAAGAGTCAAGAGCGAGAGACAAAAAGAGGAATTAGTGAGATAATTTCACTTTCCCGCAAAATGCAGGTAGCGCCGACAGGTGGGTGATTTAAGAAGGTTTCCGAATGGACACACACAGTTGTTCCTGGTGCTGCCAAGTGTATTTATGGAGTCTAATCTCGCTGTCAGCCACACAGGAAGAGAGTGAGAGAGCGGGGACTGGCTCTTCTTCCAACAACAATCACTCACAGAGGATTCAAACAGGACACATTATTCAACAGAAACGTCAGGGGAAATCCACGGCAGGCAGATAAGAGCCGACTGGGGGGGCGGGGGGGGCTTGGAGGTGGATATAGCCGCAGTCAGCTATACTGTCCGACTAA